TATGACTGCTTTAAATCTACACTTGGCTAGAACATTTGAGACTAGGAAACAGTTTCAGACTTTGACTAGCTCATTCTTTCCATCATTCCTTGCTAACACCTGCTTCCCAGGACAGAAATTAATTCCTGAATTACATAGACCTAGCACCCTAACCTGCCACAGGTAAAGCAAGGGAACCATGGTGGCCAATGTCCAGCTTCTATAAAATGTTGTCAATATAAACCCAAGAGATCCCAGGTAGAAATCCACACCACCCGCTACAGAGGAAGGCAAAACCCCTGACAGTCCCATACCAATCTTACCAAGATGTAAACTTTCTTCTTGACCCAAAATATGGTGATCGGTCTGACCCTGAGCAGAGGGGCAAGATCCTCTAGCCAGGACCCTCTGGCTTTGCTCCTAGCAGGATTATTGGCACACCCTAGTCAAAGTCCCCAGTCTTGGATGTAGCCAGAGGCAACCCAAGCAGGGTGTGGGGCCCAGGGCAAATCAGCCCATGAGGAGCCCCACCCCCACTCCAATCCCAGACCTGAAGAAGCTGCCACCGCCAGCAGTGGCAGTGGGGCGGGGGTAGCAAGTAGCTGGATGTGGAGCCGCTGCTCTGCCCAGCTCCGTGCTGCTGCTGCTCCACCTGGCTCTGCAGGGACCCCCAAAGTGCAGGGCCCAGGGCACTCACCCCGATTCACCCCCACTAGCGATGGCCCTGGATGTAGCTAACACCCAGTGCCTCTGGGAAGGCTTAAAAACACCCTGACACATATAGCAGAAAAAAGGGGAGGGGAGGCAGGGGCAACCAACTAAGCCCAGAAGCATAGGAAATACCTATGGTAGAAAACAGGCAAAGCTATACCTAGATGATCCCCAACCAGTGGCTGTCCAACCTCTTCTTAAACGTGTCCTGTGATGGAGAGTCCACAACTTCCCTAGATAATCTATTCCACTGCCTCACTGTTCTAACAGTGAAGAAGTTTATCCAGATATCCAACCTAAATGTGCTTTGCTGCAACTTCAAGCCATTGTTCCATGTCCTCTCTGTAGCAAAAGAGAATAGGCGCTTTCCCTCCTTCTTTATGACAGCCCTATCCAGTAGGACATATTCCTAAACTAGTATCCATCACCATAGAGCAAACTAGAGTGCAGCTTTAAGGTTAGAATATACTTTCCATGCTCCCGTGCTGTACAGCCCAGGTCTGGAATGACTGAAAAATCCACTAGGCATCTACCTGCATGTTTAGACACACAAATACCTTTAAAAATCTGACCCTAAGTGAAATACAGTTTTATCTTGAATAAAAATGTAGTTTAAGATGCAACTTCCAAAGTAAATTTCAACATGGGCACATGCTGATCAAACCATTTTGCCTTAAAACCCATTTTAAAATTATACCAGAAAGCATATTCAACAAAAAACAGCTCCCAGCCCAGTGCTGAAAGGACCTAAAAAGATAGAGCTGGTTATAGTCTGTTTTGCTTTAAGATATGTTTGATCATCTTTTTCTTTAAGCCTAATGTGTGCTCTGTGACTGATAAGGGATATTAGATGTTGTCATCTTTACTGATTTATTGTGTGAGTGTTACTTCTTAGAAGAAATATACTGTGGGCCACAGATTCACAAGTCACCTGCCCAATTATTTTTTGAAATCTTTTCCCTTGTGCTCCATTCCCAAGGCATTGTGGGCATGTCTACACAGTGTCCTGGGCTCTGTCAAAAGTGCCTGCTGTTGAGAGACCCTGTGAACCTGCTCCAATTTACATGTGCCAAACCCAGAAATGCATTGGTGAAACTACCCTTAGGCCCTGCTCCCCTTCTCCTCCCCCTATCAGCTATTGTGGAGATCTCTTGTCTCTAGCGTGCTTGAGAATGGCAGCAGGGGATGCTCTGGAGTGCCTTCACTGCTGTATTTCAATGTGTAAACTGATGGAAGGATGGTACTAGGGAGTGGGTAACCCTTGTGCAAGCATCTGTTTGCACACACTTATCTAGGCTGTAAAGAACACAGATTGGGAAACTATACCCAAAGACTGCTAAAAAAATGAGAGAGGACCAGCTGATGGACTATTGAGCCAGAACCATTTTCACCTTGGTAACTAAAGCGGATCTACTGTAAGTAGGTCAAATGTGCTGTTACTTGCTGTAAACTGGCATCTGTTGTACATTATGCTGCTTATGGTTTGACTGGAGGATTCATCTGCAATCTTCCCCCACTTCCTCTTAGGGCTAGAGCCTGAAGCCTGCAGGCAGGAAGAATTCCTAATAATATAAATGAAAATTTACTGGAATATAAGGACTGAAAGATTTAACTCTTCCACTCTTCATTTACTCCTTTCAGCCTCCTGTAGAAAGCATTACCCACAGGCTTGCTGTTTATAGTAGTAATTGTTCTGGGGACGAAAAACACAATTGCTTGAAAAGAAAATGAAGCTAATAAATTTAAAGGATTACACTGCCTATAGGTTTCCTGATTTTATGTTGTGACCTTCCTTTGTTATTAACTTCTTCATCCGTAGGTTTTTAGTACAAGCACAAAGGATTTATACATTTGTCTTTGGTAACGTACCTCAGACTGGTAAAAGCTGGGAATTTACTCTCTGTCCGCATCCTTGTGAGACAGCATGATTTCTCCAAGCCATTTTTCTTCCCTTTCATGATTTTTGACACTTTCACAAATCAAAATGGAAAAGAATAGACTGCTGTAGACTGAATGTACAATGCAGCTTTTATCTGCATAGTGGCTTTCATTGGAGCTGTAGCCTGAGAGGCGCTGGAGATAAATCATAGCAGAGGATGAGAAAATATAAAGCCTGCCTATACATACAAGTTCTGTGTTAGCATCTATTCCTGCTGCTAGGAGAATGTGTGTGTTGCTTCCCAACTCTCCTGCTAAGCACATGTCCTGCCTTGTCTCCTTCCATCATCATTACTCTCCTGTAACACAGAATGATGCCTATTCCCTCTGTCTTACCAAGGGAATGATTCCTTCTAGCCTCTCTATACATAACAAATAAATAAAAGTATTTTTCTTCATTGGAGTTGAACTCGCAGCACACCCTGGTGCACCCCTATTACATGCTCTGGCCTAATCATTTGTCCTGCTACTCCTCCACCCTCTAGCAGACCCTCCTCTCTTAATAGGCAGCATAAAGCAGTCATGGGTTGGTCTATATTGCTTAGGGACTTCTCTTCTACTAGGGGCTAGTCTATTACTCCTTTCTGCCACTGGTTTGTTAAAGATATAATAGTAAGAGCATTTGAAAAATTACTTATCACACAGCTAGCACATTGCAATTTTTCTAGCAAGAAGTGGTGCTGTATTGTGCCAGGAGACAATCTTTAGGAAAGTGGCTCAGGCCCTAGAAAATTCTTAAATTCATTTAATCAATTTTCTAAGAGTAGGTGCTAGGAATACGAATTCCTTCAAATCTTCTTGTCAATGAGGGAAAAAAGCTGCTGCTCTGAATTATGACACACCCTGTTGAGTCATGTATGGCCTCATGCTGCTGTTCATGCTTAGCCTATGAAGATCTGCTTTTGGAAGAGTCCATGAGACAGGTGCAGAAAGCAATGCTGTGAGCAGATATCTGCCATTTCATTGGCTTTGTAAGTACTGTCTATGCTGCAGCTCATGCATAATGCAGGGCTCCTTCAAAATCAAAGAAGGTATGCACTTAAAATGTTTCTAGCAGTCTGAAAGTACTTACTGGTTCTACTGTTATTCCCTATATTATGAGCAAAAAATGCCTGCCAAATTAAATAGCAACTTTTTAATACATGTATTTAAAATAGTATTGCCAATTAGTAGGGGTGTGCAAAATGGGCCATATTCAATTTGCATTCAGCCCGAATCAGGGACAGCAATTCAATTAATTGATTTGGATCATTGTCCCCAATTTGATTCGGCCGAATCTGAAGATTTGATGCTGATTCGGAGAATCAGTGATTCAGCCATAGACACAGCTTTAAATGTTTTTTCTACATATCTCGAGGCTCATGAGCGCTGCAATTCTGGAGCGAATGGAGCGTCCCACCCCCCCGCGTGCTTGGCGGTAGACCCGGAAGTGGACCGGAAGTAGTTTTTCGACCACCAAGCATGTGGGGGACTGCCCCTGTCCCCCCAGCTCAGTGATCAGCCATGGTGGGACCCCAGGTGTCCCCCAGTCGCCGGACTGGGGGGCAGGGAGGGGGGTCCCCCATGCACTCCGTGGTTGACTCAGAAGTGGACTGGAAGTGCTTCTGGTCCATTTCTGGGTCCGCCACCAAGCGTGCTGGGGCCCCCCCTCCCCCGCCCCGCCGTGCTCCTCTGGGAAGCTCTATCTGCCCCAGCATCTCAGCATTCACAAGCTGCCTGCTACCTTGAGGTATGTGGAAAAAACATTTAAAGCTGTCTCTATGTCTGAATCACTGAATCTCTCTGAATCGACTTGGAGGGTTCTGATTTGATTCAAAGTCATTAAAGGGTCTCCTGATTTGATTTGGATTTGGAGATTCAGCTGAATCAAATCTGCAAGTGATGCTTCGCACAGCCCTACTAATTAGCAAGTGTTCTAAGTTAGGAATAATATTTGATTCTGCAAATGGGATTTTATTTGTGGGAACCAAAACACTTTAATTTTTTTAATTGTCTTTCAGCAAGTATTTTCTGATCTTCCACTGGCTTTTACCAATGAGTTTGACTGGCCGCAGTTTTCAGGGATCACTGGATTTCTGAACTCCACCATTGGGTAAGTTAATAGAAGGCTGAAGTCAAATGTTAGCATACCTTGAAGACCAAATAAATAAAATACAAAGCAAAGACAAGATAGAAGATTCCAGTACTTGCATGGAAAAATATAAACATTGCTATGATCTTCCTCTGCTCTTCTTAAAGTCATAATAACCCTGAAGCTGTTTTCCTCTCTCTCCCTTATCCTAGATATATACATTAATACATGTGTTTCTAGCCAATCAAGCCTATTCCTCATGCTCTACTGGTATTCAGGGTGGATTCCAGAGCTGGTCACATTTTTAATTAGAAAGAAATTATTTTTTAGGGATTTTATTGCTGTTGAAACTAAAAGAAATCGCAAGTTTTGGATTTTTGTTTTCTTACTGATTTTTTTTTTCCTGCTGAATGCAATAGAATAAATTAAGTTTTGGGTTTATTTCCAGCCTGGTCCTACCTTAAACTTTTTTTCTTTCCCTGTTTTCCTTTTCTATTTTCACAATATTAAAGAGACTTGCAAAATCAAAACTACAGTATTTTTAAGAAAAAGCATTCTGAGTTTTGCAATTTTAAGTATAGTTCTGAATGAAATTAATAGGCAGAGTTTGAATAATGAGAACAAACTTGCAGAATAACTATGATTTTTTATATGATTCTGGAAATTAAAGCATAGAACAATCCAGAACATCCATGTTCTTTGAAACCTTATTTACCAAATAACTACATCCTTCATTAACTAAATACTGCATTCTTTAACCAGTGCATCCAGTCTGCTTTCCATCATATGCTATATTGAAGGCTTTAAAAAGTTCACGTATTACCATTAAATCATGCTTGTGGTTAATGCTCAGTTTTATCTCAGGTTTCTATGTAGATCATGCTTTTTGGTTTCAAGACTTATCATGGTTTTATAACTGCACTGCTCATTGTTTGCCTTTCTCTAGCCCAGGCACTTAGCTTATCCAAGTTCTTCATATATAAGTTCAAACACAAAATCAACAGCCCCAGTAGGGATTAAAATGTTTTCAGGGCTGTGGAAATGAGTTTTATTTTCGACTTTCCTTTGGGCAATTCTGCTTCGGAAGGATTTTTATTTTTCTCTACGCTGCAAAGTAAAGGGGAAAACTAATCAAACACAATGTGTCTTCAAATCGGTCAGTCCAAGATTTATTACTCTGGGAAATGAACGTCCTGCCAATATTTCTCATTTTTATTTACTGTTCCACAACTCTAATGAAAAGCCAGACTCTTTGCGTGTCAGTGTAATTGCTTTTTGTAAATGTTATCTTAAAGGTTCAATGAGCAACTATCTGAAGAATCAGGAAAACATGGCTAAAAATATGCACCATTTGAAAGGCACTATATATTATATCAGTCTATATACAGCTTTCCTTTTATATTATCATGTTTAAAAGAAAACAGATGTTTTAAGTGAACAAAGAGGAAATAGAAACACAAAGGATACAAGATTTAAATACCGAGTTAATTTCTAACTTTTCAAAACCCTCTTTGACTCTTCCTGAACTTCAGAGGATTGAATATAAAGGATATTATACTTCATTTGAAAGCTTTAGTCTCACCTCATTATTATGCTATGCACCTATGGTTATTTCCTGGTCATTTACATTAAAGAGAAGGTTAAATCCTGAAATAGGCAGTGGGATATAAACCCAGAAAATGCAGTTTTACATTTTGGTCACCCATGACTAGTTCCTATGACTTGTTGGCTCTGCTGTAGCCTGTTAATTGTGTTATACAGCCTTTCTGACCACCTTTTAAAACTATTGTTTGCTTCCCAATTGCTGTATTTTGCCAAATCTTCCCCCCAATGTCTGTTTGAACCTCTAAACAGACTTCTAATAATAAAGTAGTCATACTTCACTTAGTTTAATTTTGAAATGCACAATTTATTAGAAATTCACTCAGTGTAGTGTGAATTATAGTGCAGCGTCTATTTTCCCTTTTCTTGCATTGCTCAGTAGCATACTGAATAAAACATGCTAAATATGGAAAATGTAGGTTCAGTCTTTCAAAGGCTACCAAGAGCTGTTCCACTGCTTTTAGTGGAATGACTTACAATAGTATTTCATGTTGTAGAAAATCCTATGCCCCAAAGTGTAGGGAAAATCAATTAATGTATTTCTTTATTAATGCTGAATGTGTCAACCGCTTTCATTAAAGCTAACTAGGTTTTTATGTATGATATGAATTTAGTACCTTTTGTTGTGTTATTTTTTCAGAGGCTGGACAGACTCTTTTTACTTATATTTACGTAGAAGAAACCTCTGCAATCACAGAGACTTCCAGAATATTTCCAAAAATGGTACTTTAACTCATTGTTTTTAATAGATGAAAGTTTGATACTTGATGTTGTACTAATGGACAAGTCTCACAGACACTTTGAGTTGTACATGCTGCATGCATGAAATGTGGAGAAGCAGAGAACACTGTTTAACATGGTGGTTTTTGTTTGCATCAGTCTATCTCAACTCTGAATAAGGGCTTACATAAGCTTGATTTCTTTCATCTATACTATGACTAATGACTTCTGCTTGACTAATAATTGATGCCTTTCACTGTGTAATCTAGAATTCATTTTTCTTTATCTGAATATTGTTTTAATTAAAAAATAATTAGATCTGAATACTAAAGGTTCTATGCTTCCAGAATTGCTAACTTCAGACAATTTTGCAGGATTATAAATTAAAATATTCTTTTTTCTTTTTATGGCCAATTTTTGCTCTAACTAGAGAATAAAACTAAATAATGGCTTTGGCGATACAGAAAATGTCCATATTATGTAGCCTAGTTGGAGAATTGGTAGTTTTCAAAAGGGTTAAAACATTAGTCTTGAACTAAAGCTATGAAAGAACAGTCCTATAACACCTTCCTAAACTGAGCTGAATCTTACCGTCAGTTCACAGTTATATGTCCCTCTTAAAGCAGATTGAAGGTATTTGAGTGACTTGCATTTGTGCTCCAAAAAATAAGCAATCTACTCCTTTTTCCACGTGTGCCACAGGGTAAACAAAGGAAGTTGGACACTAGCTAGCTGTCCCCACACGCATGCTCTGAGGAAAGGTTCATGCCCTGTTGTACAGGATATTTTGTAGTAATATTTTAGATGCTCTGTGCAACTCTTTATTTACTTAAGGCTCCCATACTGCACAAATCAGGATTGTACACAGTGGGTACATCCACGCAAGACATTACTGCACAATGGTGACTGTGTGTTTATGTAGTATTTGTATAATAAGTACTAAACAAATGTACAGTAACCAGTTATTATGCAGTAGCACTGGCAAGCACCTTTTTAGTGATGCTACTGCGCAGTAGTGTATTAGCACTGTTTCTGCTCTGATGTGCTACTGCACAATATTATTTGGCTGCTGCACAGTTAGTGTCTCATGTAGACATGTCTAGTGTGTGTACATAGTGGGCGCGTTTACACGTGTGCATTTACTGCACAGTACGGGCGCACATTAATACATGCATGCCCGTACTGCACAATAAATATGGTGACTTACACTGACTTGAGCGTAAATTCAATACCTGCATCGTGCAAGATTCAAATTTGCACCCAGTTAGTTACTGCACAGTGACATACATGTCAACACCTTACTGCACAATAACACTGTGTCTGTGGACTGATTTAAGACTAATTTTAGTCGCAAGTCAGTCCACACACAGCATTAATGTGCTTTAATACCTATACATGATGCCAGTCTATTCCTGCTTACTGCACAGTAAATTTAAGCTGGCATAAATGCACTTGTAGACATGCCATGTGCCCTGTAGTAGCTCTACTGAAGATGACCTAGTAATTCAGGAGAATGGCTTTCGCTTCCAGTGCTAAAGGTTTTGGACTCAAATCCCACAGCAGCTCTGACTGGGAAAATGCAAATAGGATCAGATTTAGATGATCATAATGGTTTCTTCTCATTTTAGGGGCTATGAATGTATTTGCTGACTATAATACCATCTTTCTTAGATATCTTTTATATATCTTTTTCTTCCTCTGAGGTCCTTTCTTTTTTTGTAATATCCCTCACACTTTCATAAAGCATCCTGATTAGTTCCTTATCCCTCTTTCTCCCTATTTCACATGCATATTTTTACTCTTACATTGTACATACACTACTTTCATTTTGTGTTGTATAAAATGAGGCATGAACGACAGGGGGTATGGTGGCACTGGCAGTGGAGGGAGCACAGCAGCAGTAAGCGGGGAGCTACTGCAGATGCTACCAGCATTGTCAGCAGCGGAGGGAGTGGCACGCATCAACCAGGAGTCAGCAACCACCCGCAGATGCTGCTGGCTGCGTCAGCAGCAGCCAGCAGCAATTGCTGACCATCCACAGATGCTGCCGGCAGTGTTGGTGGGGCCGGGCGGCATGGCAAGCAGCAATTGCCCACACCATGTTGGTGGTGCCTTTTCATAGGGGGTGCACTGCCATGCTCAACTGCACGTGCACCCCCTATGCAGGGGGCAAAAAGTGCACCCCCTACGCATCACCAATGAAATGAGGTGAATCTGCCTGAGCAAAATGCTCTCAAGAAAACTGAGAGGAGAATTTAGAAAGAGAAGAATCATAAGTGATAGAAAAGCTCCAGGGTATCTTCTCTCAGTGTCTTCTCTTAATCATTTTGCTGACACAGTACTGTAAAATTTCATTTTTATTGCCTTATTTGGTATAATATTTTCCCCAAATGGGGAAATTTAAATGGGGACTGTCATAATATTAGGCGGAAAAACTGACTACCAAGCCCACACTTTCCCCCATTGGGAGAACTTAACCCTCCTGTCTAGAACAATGGTTTCTAGTACTAGAAATATGAAATGAAAGAAGAGACTTTAAGTTTACAATACAGAAATCAGTCCTCTCTGTCACAGAGCTAAGACCTGTCGAGTACTGAAAGTGCTTAGTATCTCTAGGAACTATGCAGCACATCACAGGATCAAGCCCATAACACTCAAGCTAGGGTTTGTTTAGTATATAGCTCATAGAAAACCATGTGTTGCCTTTTCTTCATATTGTCATCACAGAGATGAAAACAAATAGAAGGAAGGGCTGCTCAAGGTAAGAGCTTCCAGCTGGGCACAGACTCAATCAATGGGAGATCAATTTTTTGAATTGCCAGCTTTGACAGTTCTCCTTTAAAATTCAGTCTCTGGAGATTGAAAGTGAAGTTGGGAGACGCAAAAAAGAAAAACAGCCATTAAAAACATGTCTGTCAAAATGCTACTGAGAAACTTCTATAACTGTAAAGTTTCAGGTACTTAAAAGAGAGTTTATTTTTCTTCACACTGGTAGGGTTATTGGAAACTTTTCAGAGTGCTTTTTTTTTCCTATGCTTGTTCAATTATGTAGTATGCAGTATTACCTGATCATTACAAGCTGGCAAAATCCTGCACCCTGTGAGTATTGGTAGACTCTAAATGCATCAAGACTGTCATGGTTTCACTGTAAAAAGGGATGAACAAATGGTGAGGCAATTCTATGAAGGACCCCATATCTATGCATTGAGAACTGTTGCATTTTTGTCCACAAAGTAGATCAGAGCAGCAGAGAGATGAACTGTGTGGTCAGTAGCAACTTTTCTAAATGGAACAGCATCCCTTTTGTTAAGTTCAGTATCCCAAAGAACTAAAGACTGGATGTTCCCAGATGCCCAAGCTTGACATTGTATTAATTTCTGTCTGTAGTAGAGTCTGAGATAGCATTAACATGTGTGACACACCTATGAGCAGACTCGTGGTAATGACCATATTTTCTTACAAACAACACCCCCTCAACATAATACCCACCTTGTTTTTAAAAAGCAGAATAAAGACAAAAGATTTTTCCAGAGCTGTGGCACCATATGGCTCATGTCCTGCATAAATAAAGCTGAATCCCTAGACTGGTCTTCATGGGTGAATCTATGATTTTAAAAAGAGCTGAAGAGAATGAGCTAAAGCACTAAAGAGGCTGTGAAATAGAGACCAGGCCAGCTAGCAAACAACAATATTGCCCTAAGTGTGGTTAGCTTGATTAGTAGATCATCAAGACTATTAAAAAGGAGAGACTATCATTAGCACCTGTAAAGTGAAGAACAATGGGTACGGGGGGTCTACCCAACTCCAGGAGATGGCCAGCCAATTTCACAGGGCCAGCCACTATTTTTGTGAGCTGATTGCGGTGGGGTGCCCCATGCCTCTGATCAGCTAAGTAGCTTCTGTGGCCCCGCCCCTTGTTGCTGATTAGTTGTGAGGGCTGTTCATCATGTGGTCCCACCCCTCACTGCTGATTGCGGGGGCAGAAACTGCATGATGGGCAGCCCTCTCAGCCGATGAGTGGCAAGGGCCAGGGGTGGTAGCCATCTTGGGCTCCCCTTCTTGTCAGCAGTCCCACCTCTCCCCTTGCTTCCTGGCAGGCTGCTCAGCCGGGTTACAGTGCCATGAGGATTGCTGGCTCCATCTGGGGAGACAGCATTTTGTTTTCAGTACGTTGCTTTTTTTCCTGCAGATTTTGCAGGATTGCCCAATTTCACAACCATGAAGTCAATTGGCCATGAATCATTAAGTCAATTTTCTCCCTCAGCTGCCTGAACCAGGGTCCTTCCAACCCCAGGCAGAAAATCAGTTTCCCAGCTTCATAAACACACACCAATTTTGCAGGGCTGAATTCATAGAATCATAGAAGTAGGGTCAGAAGGGACCTTGTAGATCTTCAAGTCCGACCCCCTGCCTGGGCAGGAGAAAAACTGGGCTCAAATGACTCCAACCAGGTAGGCATCAAGCCTCTTCTTAAAGACGCCCAGGGTAGGAGTCAGCACCACTTCCCTTGGAAGTTGGTTCCAGATCCTAGCCACCCTGACTGTGAAGTAGTTCTTACAGATGTCTAATCTAAACCTACTCTCTAACAACTTGTGGTCGTTATTCCTTGTTATGTCAGGGAGTGCTAAGGGAAACAAGGTCTCTCCCAAACCCTTCTGGTCCCCCCTAGTGAGTTTCTAGGTGGTCACCAGGTCCCCCCTCAGCCTTCTCTTGTGAAGGCTGAACAGGTTCAGGTCCCGCAGTCTCTCATTGTAGGGTCTGCCCTGTTGTCCCCGGATCATGCGGGTGGCCCTCCTCTGGACCCTCTCAGTGTTGTCCACATCCCTCCTGAAGTGGGGTGCACAGAACTGGAGACAGTACTCCAGCTGTGGCCTGACCAATGTTGCGTGGGGGGGGGGAGGATCACCTCCTTGGCCCTACTTGAGATGCATCCGTGGACGCACAACAAGGTCTGGTTAGCCCTGCCAACCGTGACCTCGCATTGTCGGCCCATGTTCATCTTGGAGTCAAT